TGACGCCGCGGGGCCCGCTCGCTCCCACTCGCTTGGGAAGGCGCCGCGGGCTAGGCCGCACTCACGCTCGTGCTGCCCGGGCCCCTCTCGACCCTGTTTCCCGCCGCCTCGGCCGCCGCCGCGCGCAGACCCACCGACTCACTGCTTCCCTCCGGCCCGCGCAGTTCCGCCGCCTGACAATGCCGACTCGTGGCGCCTTTTATACTGCCGAGGCTGGCGCCACCTGGCAACAAAGCGCGTGTTCATTGGCTGCCCCTCTCCATCACTCATCTTTATGTGAGTATTCTATTGGTCACGACGGCGCGCGCGCTCTAGATCTGGGCGGGCTCTGCCCTTATCTTAGAACCCGCGCGAGTTTGGGCCCTGCTGAGGGCTCCGGAGGCCTAGGGACGGTGGCGCGTTCCAGCCCGCGCCCACCGCCGCAAAAGCCCACGATGATCCTCTAAAGCCCGCGGCCGCAGTCTCTCCCTCCCGAGCACTGACGACCTCACCACCCCACTTCCCGAAAGAGGGGTCGGCGCGAGGAAGTTTCGCATTGTAAGGTCGCCTTGCAAGAAGAGGCCGAACTGGGACCCCAGAACCCGAGCTTGGAAGATTCGGCGCGTCGGCCATCGGCCCGCCCATTCCCCTTGACCTTGGCGCCCCTCACAACCCTGCGTGCCTGTCCTTCCTGTAGCTGTCTTACCGTAATCGGGATGGGGGCGATTTCGGGCGCCTAAAACGGCTTTCGCCAATCCTTGGTCGCCCGGTGCCATCCAAATGATTATCAAGGCACTTAGACTTGTTTATTTAAATCTTTGCTTTAAATGAGTTAGCTTTTGCTAAAATTTATATTTAACAAAAGCATAACTACCACTCCGGGTAATCATGAGTTTCAGGAGAGGGGAGGTTAGTTTCCTTTTTTCTAATGCAAAATCCCTTCATACCATTTCGATTTCCAGGCTTGAAAGACCTGTATAAACCCATGATTCCTTTTAATCATTTGAGTTTCAAGCCAACAGGATTACAACTTCAGAAGCCTGGGGATTCACCAGGTAGCAACAGAAAGCAAATTCTGACATTTCCCGCTGGACTCCTGCAGCCAGTTTCGGTGCATTCTATTTTCTCATCTAGTCTCTTTATCCTTAATCATTACTGTCACCAAATTTATCAATAAGAAAATGTAAGGCTGCAACCATGAGCAAAGCCACACAGCCAACCCTCCCCTAATCCAGCTAGCAGGCCAATGAAATCTTAGTGAAGATGAAAAACTATGATGGTTGTATATTTTTAAAATCCAGCCTTCAGACTTTCTGTAAAGATCTAGCCACACTGCTGCGTGCCCCCAACCCAAGCCAGCAATCAACTAGAGCTGGGTCAAGCACCTTAACCTCTACTTGCTTTAAGGCTAGATTCCACAACAAATTCACCTATCTCCATAAAAATGGAGTCACAGCCCTGCCCCGATATCTGGTTGAAAGGCTTCTGGGTAAAGTCCTCACCAAACTCTCTAGGTTGCCCCCCACCCTCCTACCCAGGCCCACCCCACAGAAATAAGGGCTCAGATGTGGCCCACAGGAAATGATGGGTGAAGCTGCCCAAGCAATCAAAGTGACTCACAATTAAGTTCAAAGTCAAATAGTGCTAGGTACAGCCCCAGGACATACCTACTGAAGACATAAATGCACTTGATCCTCTGTACTCCCCACATGGATTCCATTAGCACTACTCAACACACTTTCAATGGCATGCCAAGTCTGACTGGAACAGGATTTGGAATAGCACTTCACCATTTGCAAGATGCTTTTACCAGCATTGCTTCATTGGCTCTTCAAAGAAGCTTTGTGCAGTTAACTATATACTTCATACTCAAGGACACTGAAATTGCTGGCTAAAAAGTGTGGCTACAAAGCCAGGACTTCCAATTGGAGCGGAGATTGCTTCCAGAGTTCCTGGTGTTGAGTATGGTGTCTGGGATTTGGTAGATGATCTCATCTGATTAAATTATTGTGCAACTCAAATGAGACAATGGCTTAAAATCGTTAAAAAACTGTAAATCATAAAGAGTGTGAATAAGGAGTCAGCCTCAGCCAGTGAACAAGGGTGTTTCTGACTGATGTAGGGCATCAGAAAGAAACAGGAGCCCCTCTGACACAAGGATCCCCACTCTTATTGGATCCAGGTTAAAAACCCTAAGTAGGGAGCATCCTCCCGCTTGATGATGTTCACAAGTCATCCAGGACCCTTGACTGAAGGGATTCAAGCTAATGTGTACAATGTTCATTCTAGAATAAAAGCCAAGTGTGATGCATTTTGACAAGTCATTTTTTTCTTGTTACTTGCTAATTATACAAATCTTTTTTTTTTTGCATTCTTTCTTTTGTTTTTTTGACTCAGCCTGCAAAGTGGCAATTGTCTGAGTTAACAGCAGATAGGCTGCTGATTCCCACTCCGGCTGCTCCCAAACTGCCTTAGATGCACTCCTCCTGGGTCAACTCTTTGTGACTACTCGGTGTGAAAGCCCTGGCTGGCCTCCCCCTTTGAGGATCAAGTCCTAACCTAATGAGGAATAACAAACACTGTGGGGGAAGTGGGGGTGTCACAGAAATCCATGGGCTACATCCCTTTCCCAGCCTCCCTTGTTGATTGGTCTGTAGAGTAGAAGGAACTACATCCAGGCCTGGGCAGTGAAGACTGGGAATCTCCTCCAGGTCTCTGCCCTGCCCCAGGACTTGTGGAGGCCATGTGTTCTACATGCTAGAGTTCCATTAGTGCGAGCAGTGCCACCCACTGCCCACATCAGACTTTACACGAGCAAGTGAGAAAGAAGGAAATAGGCTTCTGATAAGAGTTTCATTTCCTGAATATAAACTAGTTGCCAACTCAACAACCAAAAAGACAATCCAATCCAAAAATGGGCCAAGATCTAGCAGAGAATCAACAATTCTCACATGGAAGAAGCACACCAGCCTGTGTGATCATGACATGATCAGGTAACAGGCATCAGAAGACCCAAAACAAATTTTTTTAAAAAACATTGAGAATAAGGGGTGTCAGAGCAGAGACCCAAAACCCATCTGTAGACAATAGGACAATGAAGCACACACTATTCCTCTGGCTCTCTGAGGCTTCCTCACCCCCCACTATCATGACCTCAGTCCTTCCATTCAGTTCTGGCTAGACAGGAGCATTTACACTGGTATAGACGAGAGCTCACGACACAGAATCCAGGTCAGATCAAGCCCTCAGGAACAGAAATGGGAGTAGTGATACTATGAGGGAGAAATAGGGAACTGATCACAATCATCAACACAACACCCCCTCACCCCAGGAGGACAAACAACCAAAACATGAGTGAAGGGAGACAGTAGTCAGGGTAAGAAATGAAAATAATAATTTATAATTTAGCAAGGGATCACGAGATTGGGAGGGAGGGAGAAAAAAGAAGTTGATACCAAGGGCTCATAGAAAGTAAATGTTTAGAAAACGATGATAGCAATCTATGTATAAATATGCTCGATACAACTGATGTATAGATTGTTATAAGAGCCCTCACTAAAAGGATCTCTTTTTTAAAATGGCCCAAGGACTTGAATAGACAATTCTCCAAGGATACAAAGTGGCCAAGAAACACATGAAAAGATGTTCAGCATCATTAGCCATTAGAAAAATGCACATCAAAGCCTTAACAGGGCAACCACACACACTGTTTCTTCAGCAAAATGGAAAAGAACACGTGCTGGCAAAGATGTGGGGAAATGGAGACCTGCAGCCGCTGCTGTCAGCATATGAAATGGTGCTGCTGCTGCTGTGACAAAGAGCCTGGTAGTTTTTCAGAGTGGTTTAAGTTTCACCCTCAGGAGAAATGAAA